TAGTAGAAACCCTTTGATATGTTAGCAACTGAAACTGTGTGTGATAAGAAACAAAACTGGCCTTCTTGAGACTAGTTGAGTATCTGGAGCATCAGCAATTGTGGGTTCGATTACAGGCTCAAAATGGCCAGAAACAAATAACTTTCTTCTGAAACTCGTCAGTCTATTCCTGTTCTGACAAATGAAGGCTATTCTATGCGAGAAATTGCCAAGAAACTGAAGATCTCGTACAAAGCTGTGTACTACTCCCTTCACAGAACAGCGCAAACTGGATCTAACCAGAATAGAAAGAGGAGTGGGAGGCCCGGTGCACAACTGAGCAAGAGGACGAATACATTAGAGTGTCTAGTTTGAGAAACAGACGCCTCACAGGTCCTCAACTGGCAGCTTCATTAAATAGTACCCACAAAACACCAGTCTCAACATCAACAGTGAAGAGGCGACTCCGGGATGCTGACCTTCTAGGCAGAGTTGCAAAGAGAAAGCCATATCTCAGACTGCCCATCTTAATCTTTTCTTTTTATTGGCAAGTCTGAGATATGGCTTTTTCTTTGCAACTCTGCCTAGAAGGTTTCTTGGCAATTTCTCGCATGGAATAGCCTTAATTTCTCATAACAAGAATAGACTGACGAGTTTCAGAAGAAAGTTATTTGTTTCTGGCCATTTTGAGCCTGTAATCGAACCCACAATTGCTGATGCTCCAGATACTCAACTAGTCTCAAGAAGTCCAGTTTTATCGCTTCTTTAATCAGCACAACAGTTTTCAACTGTGCTAACATAATTGCAAAAGGGTTTTCTAATTATCAATTAGCCTTTTAAAATGATAAACTTGGATTAGCAAACACAACGTGCAATTGGAACACAGGACTGATGGTTGCTGATAATGGGCCTATGTACGCCTATGTAGATATTCCATTAAAAATCAGCCGTTTCCAGCTACAATAGCCATTTACAACATTAACAATGTCTACACTGTATTTCTGATCAATTTGATGTTATTTTAATGGACAAAAAAATTGCTTTTCTTTTGAAAACAAGGACATTTCTAAGTGATCCCAAACTTTTGAATGGTACTGTATGTTAACATTGCCAAAGCAAGGGAAGTAGATAGTAAACAAAAGTGAAATAAACAATAAATATTAACAGTAAACATTACACTCAGTCCCAAAAGAATAAAGACATTTAAAATGTCATATTATGTATATATATACAGTGTTGTAATGACGTGCAAATAGTTCACCCAGTAGATAAGGGAGTTTATCAAAATTGGGTTTGTTTTCGAATTCTTTGTGGATCTGTGTAATCTGAGGGAAATACAGTGGGGGGAAAAAAAGTATTTAGTCAGCCACCAATTGTGCAAGTTCTCCCACTTAAAAAGATGAGAGAGGCCTGTAATTTTCATCATAGGTACACATCAACTATGACAGACAAAATGAGGGAAAAAAATCCAGAAAATCACATTGTAGGATTTTTAATGAATTTATTTGCAAATTATGGTGGAAAATAAGTATTTGGTCAATAACAAAAGTTTCTCAATACTTTGTTATATACCCTTTGTTGGCAATGACACAGGTCAAACGTTTTCTGTAAGTCTTCACAAGGTTTTCACACACTGTTGCTGGTATTTTGGCCCATTCCTCCATGCAGATCTCCTCTAGAGCAAGGATGTTTTGGGGCTGTCGCTTGGCAACACGGACTTTCAACTCCCTCCAAAGATTTTCTATGGGGTTGAGATCTGGAGACTGGCTAGGCCACTCCAGGACCTTGAAATGCTTCTTACGAAGCCACTCCTTCGTTGCCCGGGCGGTGTGTTTGGGATCATTGTCATGCTGAAAGACCCAGCCACGTTTCATCTTCAATGCCCTTGCTGATGGAAGGAGGTTTTCACTCAAAATCTCACGATACATGGCCCCATTCATTCTTTCCTTTACACGGATCAGTCGTCCTGGTCCCTTTGCAGAAAAATAGCCCCAAAGCATGATGTTTCCACCCCCATGCGTCACAGTAGGTATGGTGTTCTTTGGATGCAACTCAGCATTCTTTGTCCTCCAAACACGACGAGTTGAGTTTTTACCAAAAAGTTATATTTTGGTTTCATCTGACCATATGACATTCTCCCAATCCTCTTCTGGATCATCCAAATGCACTCTAGGAAACTTCAGATGGGCCCGGACATGTACTGGCTTAAGCAGGGGGACACGTCTGGCACTGCATGATTTGAGTCCCTGGCGGCGTAGTGTGTTACTGATGGTAGGCTTTGTTACTTTGGTCCCAGCTCTCTGCAGGTCATTCACTAGGTCCCCCCATGTGGGTCTGGGATTTTTGCTCACCGTTCTTGTGATCATTTTGACCCCACGGGGTGAGATCTTGTGTGGAGCCCCAGATCGAGGGAGATTATCAGTGGTCTTGTATGTCTTCCATTTCCTAATAATTGCTCCCACAGTTGATTTCTTCAAACCAAGCTGCTTACCTATTGCAGATTCAGTCTTCCCAGCCTGGTGCAGGTCTACAATTTTGTTTCTGGTGTCCTTTGACAGCTCTTTGGTCTTGGCCATAGTGGAGTTTGGAGTGTGACTGTTTGAGGTTGTGGACAGGTGTCTTTTATACTGATAACAAGTTCAAACAGGTGCCATTAATACAGGTAACGAGTGGAGGACAGAGAAGCCTCTTAAAGAAGAAGTTACAGGTCTGTGAGAGCCAGAAATCTTGCCTGTTTGTAGGTGACCAAATACTTATTTTCCACCATAATTTGCAAATAAATTCATTAAAAATCCTACAATGTGATTTTCTGGATTTTTTTTCCTCAATTTGTCTGTCATAGTTGACGTGTACCTATGATGACAATTACAGGCCTCTCTCATCTTTTTAAGTGGGAGACCTTGCACAATTGGTGGCTGACTAAATACTTTTTTTCCCCACTGTATATGTCTCTAATATGGTCATACATTTGGCAGGAGGTTAGGAAGTGCAGCTCAGTTTCCACCTCATGTGGGCAGTGTGTACATAGCCTGTCTTCTCTTGAGAGCCAGGTCTGCCTACGGCGGCCTTTCTCAATAGCAAGGCTATGCTCACTGAGTCTGTACATAGTCAAAGCTTTCCTTAAGTTTGGGTCAGTCACAGTGGTCAGGTATTCTGCCACTGTGTACTCTCTGTTTAGGGCCAAATAGCATTCTAGTTTGCTCTGTTTTTTGTGTTAATTCTTTCCAATGTGTCAAGTAATTCTCTTTTTTTTTCTCATGATTTGGTTGGGTCCAATTGTGTTGTTGTCCTGGGGCTGTCACGATCGTTGACACATGATGAAGCGGACCAAGGCGCAGCGTGATATGCGTACATCTTTTAATGACAATAACAAAACAACAAAACGATACGTGAAGTCCTGAGTTAAAACAAACACAAACCTCTCCGGAACAAGATCCCACAAATGACCAGTGCAAAACAGGCTGCCTAAGTATGGTTCCCAATCAGAGACTCCAAGCCACAGCTGCCTCTGATTGGGAACCACCCCGGCCAACATAGAAACACATAAACTAGAACATGAACATAGAACACTAAACATAGAAACTAACACCCTGGCTCAACATATAAGAGTCCCCAGAGCCAGGGCGTGACAGGGGCACTGCTGGGGCGGCAGGTAGCTTAGTGGTTAAGAGCGTTGTACCAGTAACCGAAAGGTCGCTGGTTCTAATCCCCAAGCCGACTAGGTGAAAAATCTGTCGATGTGCCCTTGAGCAAGGCACTTAACCCTAATTGCTCCTGTAAGTCGCTCTGGATAAGAGCGTCTGCTAAATGACCAATTTATTTACTGTGGGGTCTGTTTGTGTTTGTGAACAGAGCCCCAGGACCAGCTTACTTAGGGTACTCTTCTCCAAGTTTATCTCTCTGTAGGTGATGGCTTTGTTATGGAAGGTTTGGGAATCGCTTCCTTTTAAGTGGTTATTGAATTGAATGGCTATTTTCTGGGTTTTGATCATTAGCGGGTATCGGCCTAATTCTGCTCTGCATGCATTATTTGGTGTTTTTCGTTGTACCCTGAGGATATTTTTTTGCAGAATTCTGCATGCAGAGTCTCAATTTGGTGTTTGTCCATTTTGTGAATTCTTGGTTGGTGAGCGGACCCCAGACCTCACAACCATAAAGGGCAATGGGTTCTATAACTAATTCAAGTATTTTTAGCCAGATCCTAATTGGTATGTCGAATTCTATGTTCCTTTTGATGGCATAGAAGGCCCTTCTTGCCTTGTCTCTCAGATCGTTCACAGCTTTGTGGAAGTTACCTGTGGCGTTGATGTTTAGGCCGAGGTATGTATAGTTTTTTGTGTGCTCTAGGGCAACGATGTCTAGATGGAATTTGTATTTGTGGTCCTGGCAACTGGACCTTTTTTGGAACACCATTATTTTTGTCTTACTGAGATTTACTGTCAGGGCCCAGGTCTGACAGAATCTGTGCAGAAGATCTAGGTGCTGCTGTAGGCCCTCCTTGGTTGGTGACAGAAGCACCAGATCATCAGCGAACAGTAGACATTTGACTTCAGATTCTAGTAGGGTGAGGCCTGGTGCTGCAGACTGTTCTAGTGCCCTCGCCAATTCAATGATATATATGTAGAAGAGGGTGGGGCTTTAACTGCATCCCTGTCTCACCCCACGGCCCTGTGGAAAGAAATCGGTGTGTTTTTTGCCAATTTTAACTGCACACTTGTTGTTTGTGTACATGGATTTTATAATGTCGTATGTTTTTCCCCCAACACCACTTTCCATCAGTTTGTATAGCAGACCCTCATGCCAAATTGAGTCAAAAGCTTTTTTTAAATCAACAAAGCATGAGAAGACTTTGCCTTTGTTTTGGTTTGTTTGTCAATTTGGGTGTGCAGGGTGAATACGTGGTCTGTCGTACAGTAATTTGGTAGAAAGCCAATTTTACATTCTCTCTCTCTCTCTCTCTCTCTCTCTCTCTCTCTCTCTCTCTCTCTCTCTCGCTAGGTGTGTATATTCTGATCATAGCAGGCAGTCTAGTGATGTTGGTGGGATTCTTTGGCTGCTGTGGAGCCGTACGAGAGTCACAGTGTCTGCTGGGGTTGGTGAGTTGACACACAGACACCAGTCTCATTTCCCTGAGGAAAAAACTGGATCAAGCTAGCTAGATAATTAGGATCAGGCTAGCTAGATAATTAGGATCAGGCTAGCTAGATAATTACGATCAGGCTAGCTAGATAATTAGGATCAGGCTAGCTAGATAATTAGGATCAGGCTAGCTAGATAATTAGGATCAGGCTAGCTAGATAATTAGGATCAGGCTAGCTAGATAATTAGGATCAGGTTAGCTAGATAATTAGGATCAGGCTAGCTAGATAATTAGGATCAGGCTAGCTAGATAATTACTCAGCTCTAGACTGAACTCAGAATCTTCAGTAACACTTTATTTTAAGGTGCACATATTAGCCACTAATGTGTAGTTTATCAGTGTGTAATTAACTAGCTTATAAGGCCTTTATTAGGTCTCAGATATATATTAAGCCTTAACTAAGTGATTTCTTATTCAAACATTAAGTCATGTATAACTGGCCAATTCTTAATAACATCATTATTAGCTATAATAAAGGCATATTAATGTTAATAAAGAGCAAGTTACACAAGAAAAACTCTGTCTCAATGTGGGACTAATAAGGGATAAGTACCTTAATATGTTCTCCCTATTCTGAAGTGTGACCATGTTTTTACTTGCAGAAAAACAGTCCAGAAATGACCTTATTGGACAGAAAGGGGCACACCTCTCCTCATATATGCCATACAGAAATCACTTAGTGAAGGCCTAGTATATGGCTAATGAGGCCTTATAAGCTAGTTATATACACACTGATAAACTACAGATTAGTGGCTAATATGTGCACCTTAAAATACAGAGCTCAAGATGAAGCCAGATCAGAAACCATGGAAACAGTAGACTCTAACCTGCTTTGTGTTCCAGTTCTTTGAAGCTAGATCAGAAACCATGGAAACAGTAGACTCTAACCTATCTTTGTGTTCCAGTTCTTTGAAGCCAGATCAGAAACCATGGAAACAGTAGACTCTAACCTGTCTTTGTGTTCCAGTTCTTTGAAGCTAGATCAGAAACCATGGAAACAGTAGACTCTAACCTGTCTTTGTGTTCCAGTTCTTTGAAGCTAGATCAGAAACCATGGAAACAGTAGACTCTAACCTGTCTTTGTGTTCCAGTTCTAGATCAGAAACCATGGAAACAGTAGACTCTAACCTGTCTTTGTGTTTCAGTTCTTTGAAGCTAGATCAGAAACCATGGAAACAGTAGACTCTAACCTGTCTTTGTGTTCCAGTTCTTTGAAGCTAGATCAGAAACCATGGAAACAGTAGACTCTAACCTGTCTTTGTGTTCCAGTTCTTTGAAGCTAGATCAGAAACCATGGAAACAGTAGACTCTAACCTGTCTTTGTGTTCCAGTTCTAGATCAGAAACCATGGAAACAGTAGACTCTAACCTGTCTTTGTGTTTCAGTTCTTGAAGCTAGATCAGAAACCATGGAAACAGTAGACTCTAACATGTCTTTGTGTTCCAGTTCTTTGAAGCTAGATCAGAAACCATGGAAACAGTAGACTCTAACCTGTCTTTGTGTTTCAGTTCTTTGAAGCTAGATCAGAAACCATGGAAACAGTAGACTCTAACCTGCTTTGTGTTCCAGTTCTTTGCCTGCCTGCTGATCATCTTCGGCGCGGAGGTGGCTGCTGGTGTGTTTGGCTTCTTGAACAAAGACAAGGTACCCATGATGCACCGTGCCACTCCACCACGTTACCTACCACAACTGGTGACGCCATTGTGGTCCCAACTGTCTTTTATTGTCTTACTTCAGATAGCGTGACAACTCCTGTCAGAAGATAATGATTATCATTCTTTTATTTTTATGGTCTTGTCTGATTATTTTCTCACAGATTATCAAAGATGTCCAGAACTATTACGTCAAATCCTACAACGACGACAACAACAGCACAATGATACAGAACTCCTACCACAAAGTTGTAAGTACATTAACATTTTGTCTGGTGAAAAAAACTATGCATACAAACAATAGTACACACGACAAAAGATGCATAGCATAAGACTTCTTGTTGACTTCAATGATACCAAACTCTAGTAGAACTACCAATTTACAGTGCCCTCCATAATTATTGGGACAGTGACATTTTTTGTTGTTGTTTTGGCTCTGTACTCTGGATTTGAAATGATACACTATGTGGTTAAGGTGCAGACTGTCAGCTTTCATTTGAGGGTATTTTCATCCATATCTGTTGAACCGTTGAGAAATGACAGCATTGTTTGTACATAGTCCGCCCATTTTAGGGGACCAAAAGTATTGGGACAAATTAACTTACATGTGTATAAAAGTATTAAGAAGTGTAGTATTTGGTCCCATATTCACAGCACACAATGACTACATCAAGTTTGTGACTCTACAAACTTGTTGGATGCATTTGCTGTTTGTTTTGGTTGTGTTTCAGATTATTTGGTGCCCAATAGAAATGAATGGTAAAAAATATATTGTGTCATTTTGGAGTCACTTTTGTTATAAATAAGAATATAATATATTTCTAAACACTTCTACATTAATGTGGACGCTACCATGGTTACAGATAATCGTGAATAATGATGAGTGAGAAAGTTACAGATGCACAAATATCATAGCCCCCCCCCCCCCCCCAAAAGAAATGCTAACCTGCCCTGTTATTGTAATGGTGAGAGGTTAACATGTCTTGGGAGGTATGATATTTGTGCGTCTGTAACTTTCTCACTCATCATTATTCACGATTCATTCAGGACTATCCGTAACCATGGTAGCATCCACATCCACACTCCCTCCTCTCTCCCCTGTAGCTGAACTGCTGTGGGACGTCCCAGAGCTTCTGTCCCGAGGCCCCAGCTGACACCAAGGTGGGGCTAATGACAGTAGCTAACTACCTAGATAGCCATCATCGCTAAAGATTGGAACTTTCCTTTTAAATCTTTATTTTGTTCTTACGTGTGTGTGTGTGTGTGTGTGTGTGTGTGTGTGTGTGTAGAACTGTGAGGTGGGCATCAAGGAGTTCTTCAACAGTAAACTCTACATCATCGGTTATGTGGGGATCGGCATCGCTGGAGTCATGGTGAGAACAGGACTGGGGGAGACACATTACCTCTCTCTCTCTCTCTTCCGCACACAAACACACACACTACTTTAAATTGCTCTCTAAGAATGTCTCCTTCCTTTTTTCGTTCTCTCTCAATTTCAATTCAGTAGACTTTATTGACATGGCAAGTGAAATTACTTACATTGTCAAAGTATACATATAACATAAAATGGTGGGACCAACAGCAATAATAATAGTAGTAGTGGAAATGGGATTACCATTAACAGCAACTACAACAATATTAATGAGAATAACAATACATTAAAGCAATAGTAGTCGACCAATCTCAACATGACTGAGAAGATACATTACATGGTATGAAAGCCAAAACATTGTTGACATCTTTCTCTCTCTCTCTCTAGGTTATAGGGATGATCTTCAGTATGGTGTTGTGTTGTGCCATCCGCAACAGCAGGGAGGTCATCTAAACAGGCACACCTTCCAGTCCTCCAGTATCCCAACAGCCCAACAGCCCAACTCCAGTCCTCCAGTATCGCCCAACAGCCCAACAGCCCAACTCCAGTCCTCCAGTACCCCCCAACAGCCCAACAGCCCAACTCCAGTCCTCCAGTACCCCCCAACAGCCCAACAGCCCAACTCCAGTCCTCCAGTACCCCCCAACAGCCCAACAGCCCAACTCCAGTCCTCCAGTATCCCCAACAGCCCAACTCCAGTCCTCCAGTCCCCCCAACAGCCCAACAGCCCAACTCCAGTCCTCCAGTACCCCCAACAGCCCAACTCCAGTCCTCCAGTACCCCAGCCCAACTCCAGTCCTCCAGTACCACCACAGCCCAACTCCAGTCCTCCAGTATCCCCAAACAGCCCAACTCCAGTCCTCCAAGGTACCCCCCAACAGCCCAACTCCCAGTCCCTCCCAGTACCCCCCCAACAGCCCAACTCCAGTCCTCCCAGTACCCCCCAACAGCCCCAACAACAGCCCAACTCCAGTCCTACCAGTACCCCCAACAAGCCCAACTCCAGTCCTCCATTAACCCCCCAACATAGCCCAACCTCCAGTCCTCCAGTATACCAACAGCCCAACTCCAGTCCTCCAGATCCCAAACAGCCCAACTCCAGTCATCCAGTACCCCCAACAGCCCAACTCCAGTCCTCCAGTACCCCCAACAGCCCAAACTCCAGTCCTCCCAGTACCCCCCAACAGCCCAACTCTACTCCAGTCCTCCAGTAACCCCCAAACAGCCCAACAGGCCCAACTCCAGTCCTCCATGTACCCCCAACATCCCAACTCCAGTCCTCCAGTACCCACCCCAACAGCCCAACAGCCCAACTCCAGTCCTCCAGTACCCCCAACAGCCCAACTCCAGTCCTCCAGTACCCCCAACAGCCCAACTCCAGTCCTCCAGTACCACCCCAACAGCTCAACTCCAGTCCTCCATTACCCCAACAGCCCAACTCCAGTCCTCCAGTACCCCAACAGCCCAACTCCAGTCCTCCAGTACCCCAACAGTGTTTCTCAACTCCAGTCTCCAGTACCCCCAACAGCCAACTCCAGTCCTCAAGTACCCCAACAGCCCAACTCCAGTCCTCCAGTACCCCAACAGTGTTTCCCAACTCTAGTCCTCCAGTACCCCCAACAGCCCAACTCCAGTCCTCCAGTACCCCAACAGCCCAACTCCAGTCCTCCAGTACCCCCAACAGCCCAACAGCCCAACTCTAGTCCTCCAGTACCCCAACAGCCCAACTCCAGTCCTCCAGTACCCCCAACAGCCAACTCCAGTCCTCCAGTACACCCCAACAGCCCAACACCAGTCCTCCAGTACCCCCAACAGCCCAACAGCCCAACTCCAGTCCTCCAGTACCCCCCAACAGCCCAACTCCAGTCCTCCAGTCCCCCCAACAGCCCAACTCCAGTCCTCCAGTACCCCCAACAGCCCAACTCCAGTCCTCCAGTACCCCCAACAGCCCAACTCCTGTCCTCCAGTCCTCCAGTCTTCCAGTCCTCCAGTACCCCCCAACAGCCCAACTCCAGTCCTCCAGTATCCCCATCAGCCCAACTCCAGTCCTCCAGTACCCCCAACAGCCCAACTCCAGTCCTCCAGTACCCCCATCAGCCCAACTCCAGTCCTCCAGTCCTCCAGTACCCCCCAACAGCCCAACTCCAGTCCTCCAGTACCCCCATCAGCCCAACTCCAGTCCTCCAGTCCTCCAGTCCTCCAGTATCCCCATCAGCCCAACTCCAGTCCTCCAGTACCCCCCATCAGCCCAACTCCAGTCCTCCAGTACCCCCCATCAGCCCAACTCCAGTCCTCCAGTACCCCAACACCCCAACAGAACTCATTTTTATTTAAGCCCTGGACAAGCACACCTGATTCAACTTGTCAACCAATCATGAAGCCCTAAATTTGTATAATGAAGTATGTTTGTCCAGGGATACAACAAAAACGTGTGCTGTTGATGGAACTGGAGGACTGGAGTTGGGAAACTCCTCTTCAGGAGATAAGGAGAGGAAGCCACGTTAGACTATTGAGATCCCACCCACCTACCCTCCCACCTCCCCTGACACCCCTCCCCCTCCCCCTCCCCCTCCCACCTCCCCTCCCCCACCTCCCTGACACCCCTCCCACCTCCCCTGACATCCCCCCCCTCCCCTCCCCTCCCCTCCCACCTCCCCTCCCACCTCCCCTAAAGTAGGCACTAGGTAGTGAATAGGATGCCATTTGGGATACAACCGGTGTCCGTCCTGTAGTTGACGTGACAAAGCTTTTCCACAGCCAGCCACTCTCTTCACGTGCCTTTTTTCTTTCTTTAAAAAAAAACACAAAACAAACATTTTAAACAACCAATCAGTGGCCAGAAGCAAAGTTTGTAGGAATATCTAAACTGCCCGGCCACTAGATTCCTGTACATTACACTATAAGGTTTTTAAAAGACATCTGTATGTGATACGTTGTTTATTTCTGTGGCCAACGAGTAGCACTAGTGGCATGACTGTTGACACGATGGTCGCCTTCCAGGACGTTGCATTAACATCAACCAATGGTTGTGTGCTAAATCATCGGCCGCACAGTCGGGCGTTAGATGGCTATAATCATATGATGTGGCTTTAGCTGGTACGTTAAACACCAATCCGAGTGTTGTGAAATCTGGCAGGCGTCTGCAATGTAGTGAGCCTGGAATCTGGCCATTGTGACAGCCAGCTCTGTGAGGCAGGTGCCCTGGTAGGAGTGGGTCCCAAATGGCGCCCTGTTCCCTTTATATTGCACTACTTTTTAACAGGGCCCATTCGGCTGTGGTCAAAAGTAGTGCATTCTAAAATTAATAGGGGGCCATTTGAGATGCACACAAAGTAGGGTTGGGCGGTATCCAGATCTTCATACCGTTTCTGTACCATACCGGGGTATACAGTATTACCAGAAGTGCACACAAGGGGAGCTATTTCAAATAAATAATGTTTTTTTCTGTTTTTTGGGGACGCACAAAACAATTTCGGGGATCTTGATCCAGGAGGGGATTGAATGTCTCTAGTCTGGGTACCTGTTTAGCTAAAATTCCACTCCTTGCGGCTCCATGTCATCGGCAATCTCAACGCTCAATATGCAGCTGGATTTATGGCGGAGTTGCTCATTGGTTGTTAGAAATAACATTAATGTTTTCCATGACAAAATTGAATCAAAGTCAAAATCAAACATTTAGCTGTTAGCTAGGCAAGTTCTTGTATTTTTAGGTTTAAATTCAAAGCAAAGCGGTTTTGAGGTTGGAATTGCAGTATGTATTTAGTTTGACAATTTAGAAGTGAGCGAGCAACTTTTAACAGACTGGTTTCGTCTGGACAAACAAAAAACGGTTGCTTAGCAACTAGATACCAATGTGTTGTGTGGAGAGAAAAAAAAAATGACAGTTACAATATTTGGATAATCGTTGTGATTGGAGGATAGATTGGAGGGGTTATCCAATCAGGATCAACTCCTCTGTTCTCCTCAAGCTCATTAATGATAGAATGTTCATATTTGAAAATGTCAGAAAGGCCAGTCTCTTCGGCAATGTCAAGGAGTACAGGGAGTGGATTAGCTGAAGAGACTGGTACCCAGGCTAGAAGGTCTCTGCTGTAACCAATCATCTTCATCTTGACATCTAGCTACTCAGCTAGCAAGTTAGCAAACATTTTTTACATTTTTACAGTTTAGTCATTTAGCAGACGGTCTTATCCAGAGCTACTTACAGTTAGTGAGTGCATACATTTATTATTTTATTTTTTATTTTTTCATACTGGCCCCCCGTGGGAATCGAACCCACAACCCTGGCGTTGCAAACGCCATGCTCTACCAATTGAGCTACATCCCTGCCGGCCATTCCATCCCCTACCCTGGACGACGCTGGGCCAATTGTGCGCCGCCCCATGGGTCTCCCGGTCGCGGCCGGCTGCGACAGAGCCTGGATTCGAACCAGGATCTCTAGTGGCACAGTTAGCACTGCGATGCAGTGCCTTAGACCACTGCGCCACTCGGGAGATAAAACCAAAAGCAAAGCTTGAGCCCTGAGCTGGATATAATTTATTTGACACATCTTAGATTTCTTATAGTTAACCTTAACGTGTAAGGGATAATCAACGAGGGGCTATGCGTTTTATGGAAAAGAATGAACGACGTGGAAGGTGTGTTCCACGACTCGCTAGCTGAGTTAATTCCAGAGAACGCATAGAGCCCTGAGATTAAATATCCCTTTTATACCATGGCTATAATTTAACACATTTGCCGCTAGAAATATGTTCATTTGACAGTAGAAATGTGTTCAACATCCGCTAAAGTAGCTAGCAAGTTTACTAGATAGCTATAGTAGTTGCCTTGGTCACCAAACAAACAGACTTGCTAGTTTAGGTGATTCTCTGCTGTTACCAAGTGAAGCTTGATTTTGGAAGAAGCTAAGCACTTAGCTAGATAGCTAACTAGCTAATAAATGAGCAAACCGATACACAACTGCAGAGCATTTTAGCTAATTTTAGACAGTTACTTTAATAG